ATTTATCTTCATATCATCTCGTTGATGTTGTGTTACTTCCGAGGGTCTGAGGTTCAACAATGAAACGACGACCTGTGATTGGTCGACTGGACTTAATGCAGAAATATAAAATCACATCACAACATTTATGTGCGCTGCCCCACCAGCTGTCCACACACACATTGTGTGTGTGTGCATGCGCCTTTTCTCTTTGTGTGTTTGATTGATGTGTGTGTGTTCAGTGGTGCATGTGACCCTCAGTGTGTGTGTGTGCGTGTGTGATTAATATTACATGAGGCTCCTGATGAGAGGTGGACACACACCCCCAGCTGAGCTCACACACACACACACACACACACACACACACACACAAACACATGAATGAATGCATGAATGTATTGTCACACACACATTTTACGAGCAGTGTGTTGTGTCACAGATAAGATGATGTCGATAAAACACACACACACACACACACACACACCTCTCATGCTGTCTTCACATCAGATTAAACGCCCAGTGGTCACCATGACAACCGGAACACTTTATGGCTCTCACCTGCTGTGACCTGTCAGCTGTGAACCAATCAGACAACACATTTCAAACAGACTCACCTGAGCAGAGATGCTGAGCGCTGACAGAGTCTCACTCTGATGTATTTCCAGCTGCTTCTCAGCAAACCTGATCAGTATTGATTATTTATCATTATTAAGCTTTGTGATGAACAGGTGTTTATGTTGGAACGAGAGAGCAGAGAGAAGGAACCAGATTTTTCTTCCTCTGTGAAAACACGCTGAATATCTGGCAGCTGTTTCCCATCATGCACCTGGCTCACAGTGGGATTATTGATGAAGAGAATCAAAGAAGCAGAGCAGCTGCGGGACGACCCGCGGGAAGCTCAACTAAAGATCTGACGATGACGCCCACCCAACGTCTGTGTGGTCGTATCTTGTCCACGATCAGAACCAGACCTGATCCACATCTGATCAGAGTCAGACCTGATCCACATCAGATCAGACAGAAACAGCAGGAACCGAGACTGACAGAAGTAACTCATGTTACAACCAGAGTTACTCTGGTTGTAACATGAGTGTACGTGTACTGGATTTGTAATAGATATGTACTGAGTATGTGGTGGATAAGTACTGGACGTGTACTGGATGTGTACTTGGTACCTACAGGGTATGTACTGGATATATATATATATATATATATATATATATATATAATACATATAAAACTTAACATAGGGTTGTGTTGGTTTTTAACCAAGTAACTTTTATTCTGGAGCAGATTCAGTGTTTTCGTACTGTGGTGCTGTCACTTAATCAAAATACGAATGCTAATAACAACAACAACAACAACAACAATAATAATAATAATATAAACAATAATAATTCTCAGTCTTAAACACAGACACCGTCACTCGAGGTGTAAAAAACCCTCAAGCCTTGATTTGCTCCCTCGCTCTACCACTCCCTCTCTCTCTCTGTCTCTAACTTCACGCCTAAAACCTCTGATTAAATATTAATGAGTCTGACCACGCCCATCACAGTGTGTGTACAGATAGACCACGCCCCTTCAATTCCCACTGAGACTCTCTCTCTGTGTGTGAATGTCTCTCGCCCCTCTCTCTCTCTCAGAACAATGTGTCGTTCACAATAATGGGATTACAGCCGTCCAGCCGGCTGCTCTCTCTCCCTCTCTCTCTCTCCATCTGTGTGCCAGTAGCCAGTCGACCCCTCTCTCTCTCTCAACCAGTTCAGTTTTTGTCGTCCGTTTTTTTGAGGAATGAAAGAAAGACGGACTGTATCCTGAAGAAAGTAAGTGTCTCCCCACCTCTCTCTCTCTCTCTCTCTCTCTCTCTCTCTCTCTCTCTCTCTGATTGACAGCTGACTGTCCTTAATTGTCTGATATTTAATTAGCGAAGCGGGAATCAGATCAGCTGCACAGAGACGTTGACTCTGACTCTCGTTCACATTCATTCACTGTTTCACTCATTAGTCTCTTAATGCTTTTCATTTTCCTGATTTTATCATTTTTATGCAATTCTGGATTTTCGGTAATTTCATGATCTTTTATAATTTTATGATGTTTTGAAACTCTATAGTTGTTATTGTTCTCGGTGAACGATGATTTTCACAGAATAATAATGGTCAAGTTTCACTGTCGTTGGTGTTGAAGTACAAAGTAACAGAAATGGAAAAGTACTTCACCATTTTACTTCTACTCACCACTCAAGTAAATCTACTTTATTATTTTCCACCTGCAGCGGACGTGTATGAAATTTATTCTAATTATTAGAAGAAGCAGAAATGAAACAGAAGCAACAGCAGCTCGATTGTTATTCTCCTGTGATGAAGTCAGTGATTGAACCTCTGAGCGTTGAGGACGTGATGAGTCAGGAAACTGTGAAGCTGCTCCACAAACAGAAAGGATCCCGATTCTTCTGGTGTAAAATGTTTCACTGATCTCAGAGCGGAAACTCTTTCATCACGTTCTCTGGAAACGTCCTCACACGAACACATGAGTTAACACGTGGTCACGTATGACAGATCCGGTCACACGTGTTCATTATTAATCAGGAGTGAAGGTGTGAACACATTGACACCACATTGGGAGGTGGTCTGGGTGTGAACGTGTTGTGAAGGCCCGTTCTTCAGAGGACGACTTCTACGTAACAGGAAGTATGTTTATCGAGAGCAATCACGAGTCTGCTGAACATGTCGGGTGACTTCCTGTATGAAGGTGTTCCTGACATGTTGTCTTCACAAACATACGTTCACGAGACTCGATCAATATTGTTTTGAATTCTTTTATTTTGGTGGAATTGATTGAGTTGAAGTCTGATACATTTCAGATATTACTCTCCCGATGTTTTGGTCTCCTCATCTGCCGTCGATAACTCCTATCGAAACCTATATTTTCACTGATACGCAATGCATTCTGGGATAGGTTGGTCTGAGATGGAAGGACACATTTGTTGGCCTTGTTTGAAGGAGTCTAGTCGCGCCCTCTGGAGGACGCTGCCCCTGAGGTCCAATAAACATCACCCGCCCCCGTCAAGTCATTTAATACAAAACCATCCAATAAAAATCCATGAAATCATAAAGTTCAGGCAGACGTTGTGTTCCGGCTCTTTAGAGTTCACCATGACACAGAGTCCGCTCCCTGATTGGTGCTTTATTAAGTTTGTAAAGTGACATCAGTGAAAAGAAGAACTGGACTAATTTGAATTAAAGAAACATTAAACGTCTGAGAGACCAGGACCTGGAAGTGAATCTTATCCCATGAGTTTTTATCAAATTGTTTTTGGAATCAGTAAAGTCATGATTGGTGTTTGTGCTGTGAAGCAGCAGATCGTCCAACTCGTTCACAACAACAGGAATGTTCGGGCGAGGGGCGGAGCCTGTAGAGCAGGAGGCGGGACATGGCGTCTAAACTCTGCTGTGTAAAGATCCGTGTTGTTGTTTACAGCTCGTCCACTCCGGCATCGGCTCTTATCACCAAAACATCTGGAACCTCCTCGTCTTTCCACGTGGACGTCTTCGTCTTCTACGTGTCCGGCTCCTCTTCTTCATCCTGAGACGATTGTGTTCTTCAGTTTCACGTCCGTCACGTGTTAGAAGCCTCAGAGACACGCCCACTCGCTCACAGGTTCCAGATGTTTTACTAGAGGCTGCAGGAGAAGATCCAGAAAATGTCCAGAGACTCTGACTCAGACATTTGTTCTCACATACCTGCAGAACATGTGTGGAACATGTCATTAACACGTCAGTGGTTCAGTTCACGTCTGAGTTTTAAGTGATGATGTTTTGTGCAGGAATAGAAAGTAGAAGTCGTGTTAGTGACGCCTCAGTGAAGCAGCTCTGGTTTTTAATGAGGTTGGTCGGTTCTGGTGTTTTGTGCTGACACGTTAAATAAAGTTTTTTTTATCTGCAGTAAATGAATCGTGGTCGTCTCCACCCTCGACTCTGTGTTGATTAAACCTCCCCCTCCTCCCCCTCATCTCTCCTATTATAACAGTAGTCCTGTCGTTTATTGCCCCCCCCCTCCCCGTCTTGTTTTAATCTTGTAAAAATTCTGCTGCTCATAAACATCATGGAGCCGCTTCACGCCTCTTAACTACAAAGACAGAGACGGGGCGGGGCGGCTGAGACGCAGCCGAGAGACGCTCAGGTTTGGTTTTAATAAAAAACTGCACCTCTTCCTCCTCTTTATCCTACTCTTCCTCCTCCTCCACTTCCTTCTTCTCGTCCGCCTCCTCCGCTCTTCTGTATCCTCCTCGTCTTCTTCCTCTTCATCCTCCTCATTCTCTTCTTTATCAACCTCCTTGTCTTTATCCTCCTCCTCCTCCTCTTCCTCGTTCTCCTCCTTCCCCCCTCCTCTATTTCCTGCTTTTATCCTCCTCATCCTCTTCTTTATCAACCTCCTTGTCTTTATCCTCCTCCTCCTCCTCTTCCTCCTCCTTCCCCCCTCCTCTATTTCCTGCTTTTTTCCTCATTACCCTCCTCTTCTTCCTTCTTTTCTTTATCCCCCTTTATCCTCTGTTGCTTCTTTATCCTCCTCTTCCTCCTCAGCCTACTCCTCTTCTTTCTTCTCAACGTTCTGTCTCCATGATGCAGAAGAATTCCTCTGCAGTGTTTTAAAATCCTTCACTGTCCAGAGGTTGACTTCCTGTTTCAGTGCCTCTGTCTTTGTTGTCATGACAACGGAGCGTGTGTTTAAATGGAGGATCTCGGTGAAGCAGCAGCTTCGACACTTGACGTGTCAGAGATCAAACTGTTTGTCCGTCTCATTCAACGATGTCTCAAGAACTCCCTGAGGGAATCTCTTCAAACGTGGTACAAACGTTCACTCGGACTCGTGGAGGAAGTGATCACATGTCAGAGGTCAGAGGTCACAGTGACCTTATATTATTGTGAGTATAATATGTGAACAACACCTGCAGGGACTGAAGCTGATCGGTTGGTAAATAAGGAGAAATGTTTGATTCAGAGTGAAGATGTGATGAAGTGAGGAGGAGGAGGAGGAAGAGGAGCAGGTAAACCCTCGTCATCTCCCACTGATCAAAAACACTTACACACTCGGTTAATTGGAGGCTGCAGAGATAATATATTCACACACACCGAGTCGGACAGATGTGTGTGCTGTTTGAAACGTGTGAACAGGCAGAGAGAGGTGATGGGCGTTAATGATATTGATGCTAATTCCATCACACCGTGTGTGTGTGTGTGTGTGTGTGTGTGTGTGTGTGTGTGTGTGTGTGTGTGTATTAATATTTCATGTTAGCAGTGATCAGTATTCAGTTTGAAGCTGCTGCAGTGAAACGTTTACTCTAAAAACGTGGTAGAATCCAGTTGACTTTATATTAGAGACTTTACCAGCACAGCGCCCCCCTGAGGTCACATTCAGCTTCATGTAAAAGACTGAATCTGTTTCCTGTCTGTCCATCGTGAAGACCTCTGTCCTGGTTTGTGTTATTTGAGTGGAGGAGGGCTGATCTCTGAGAGACATCTTCATCACTGACTCTTGTTATTGTGCTGCTGTGATTGGTCCATTGATCTGTGAAGACACTGAGGACCTGAGTCTGAGAGAGACAGAGGACGGGGGATGGAGACAATCAGGAGGACAACATCATGGACAGTGTGTGTGTGTGTGTTTGACACTACAGAGGTTAAAGGTTGATTACTTCCTGTATCAGACGTCTCGTTGGACCCATCGTCCTCACTGACCAGTGTAAATGTTGGACTGTCTCTTTAAGACTGTGGAACGTCCTAAACTCGGAGATATTTTTGAATCTGTTGTTCGTGTTAATCTGCTGTGATTCACTGATTATTCTCTTCTCTGGATTAAACTGAAGAATCTGATTCTTCTTCTTGTCAAAGAGCTGCTCTGTGTGTTTACACCAGGCGTCAACACAAACAGGATTTAATCCAGATTAGAGACAGACACAGGAACAGCAGCTCAGCAGCCTCGTCCTGTTAAAACAAACCGATCATGTGACGACTTTTAAAACCTTCAGATCCTCAGTCTGACGAGAAAAGAGAAATCAACTCATTCACATCGGATCAGAACCAGAGATGAAAAGAAAGAGAGAGAGAGAGAGAGAGTCCTGAAACGGGTTCAGACCGACACACAGAGGACGAGCTGCGGCCCCGTTATTCAGGTGAGAGGTGCAGCAGAGACAGGAAGTGATGTATTAACTCTGCTGCAGAGATCATGTGATCACATAATCACCACAAACTCTCGGTCTTTGTCTTCTACGTGTGCGTCACCACTTTTTCACCAGGAGATATTTGTTGTTTTTGGGTTTTTTTCATTTTTGCATCTGTTGCGTGTTAGAATCAACCAGACCAACCCCCCCCCCCCCCCCCCCCCCACTCGCTCGCTGTGAATCTAGCGGGGGATCTCCTGCTGTGATGTCATCGAATCCTCTTGACTTTCGGGAGACGTAATACTTGGAGGCCAGGCGGAGAAGGTTCGCAGATAATCCAGAGGCTCTCTCACTCAGACATTTGCATTCACACATGAACGTCCTCTGAAGAAATTACGGATGATCTGCAGAGTTCAGTGCATGACTGAAAGCAGCTAGTGTGTGTGTGTGTCTGTGTGTGTGTGTGTGTGTGTGTGTGTGTGTGTGTGTGTGTGTGTGTGTGTGTCAAGGTGTTTGTGTGTAAACAGCTCATTGTGACCCTGCAGCAGCGTGCTGCATCACCACGGTAACAAATTGACTTCCTGTGGGGATCATGATGGTGATGAAGGTGTGCGTGTGACTAACACACACAAACTTTAAATCCCACTGGGAGTGTGTGTGTGTGTGTGTGTGTGTGTGTGTGTGTGTGTGTGTGTGTGTGTGTGTCACGGCTGTCACACACACTGGATGATATCAAACTGTCCTTGTTTCTCCAAGTACTGAAAAATATTCATGAGCTCACCAGGGGAGTGCGGTTTTGTGTGTGTGTGTGTGTGTGTGTGTGTGTGTGTGTGTGTGTGTGTGTGTGTGTATGAGAGAAAG